AAAAAAAAATCAGAAATCGGTGCAATGATGATTCCAACATCAGGCTCAGAATTGATTTTCAGAGTTGAGGGCTTCTGTTCGTATAATTAGTCATTGCCACTCAGCCACACTATTTCTAAGGAGCTGTCAAACCTCTTGGCAGAATAAAAAGTCCAGCATTCAAGTCACAAACATTGCAAAGTTCTGTGCTTCCCTCTTACCTGACGGATTCGATGAGGCTAAGATGTCATTAGCCAACTGCAAACCCCAGGAGAAAGCGAACCTTTCTACTATCTTCCAAGGTGGCCCAGTTGTGTAGGGAAGGAGGCCTGGATCTGAGCCTGCCACAAAAGTGGAAACATCCTTCAGAAAACAGCATTTTCTGAAAAGCTCTTGGCAGCAGTGCTATCTCCAGGGTAGCAAGCTGCCCTTTTCCGAATAATGAGAAAATTATAATTATTATCAAAGATTATTATTATATTTTAAAACATATTGAGTGCTATGCACCAAGATACAGTTTTAAACAATTTTGTGAATACATTCCAAGTAAGTTACTCCTTTCCAATCATTTGTTCATTTTAACACATTCAAAGTCTAAACTGATATGTTTCAAAATGAGACGCAAAATGATAGTCATGATTAGGTCAGTCCCCTAAATTCAAGGAAAGATACATATACAAGGATTGACAGAGAATTCTGTCACAAAGTCAGCCTCTACTTCTACCAGAACCTGGAACAAGGGTTTCCATGGGAACCCATATATATCATGTCTAACGATATCAAATCATTACCAACAAACCATTGTCTACAACGTTTAATCCTGCCACCTTAACAAATGCAACTCTGTAACAACTTGCAAGATCAGACATAACCCTAGGATTCCAGGCCCCTTGGAGTTGCACACAAAATGTAAGACTCCCTGCTTTGCCCTCTTTCTTTTCCTTCCTGCTACACAGAAGCTATTCCACTGAACTCCCAAAAAGAGCCACCACTTGAATTGAGGGGACCTACACATTCATGGGATAGTCTAACCTCAAAGTAAAGGGTCAGAATGAGACTTTTGAATCCCCAAAAATCAGCCACTGAGGTAGAGAATTCTGTGACTTTGGCACCGGGATCATGGTCTGCATGAAAACAGGATCTGTGCTCCTTGGAGCTGTGGAAAGACATGATCCTACGATGAGGGAGGGTAAGGCCAGAAGAGTGTTTCACTCCACTGGAGCCACTAATACAAAATACCAGAGTAGGACTAGCTTCAAAATACCAAAGGCTAGCTTCAAAACAGCAGAAATCCATTCTTACAGCTGTGGAGATTAGGAAGTTCACCCTCAAGGCATTGAAAAATCTGTTGTCTTGTAAAAGCTTGCTTTCTATGCATAGATGATGGCCTTACACACCCTGAAAGGGGCTAGCTAGTTCTTGGACTCCTTTATATGGCACTAATCCCCTCAGCCTTCATGACCTAATCACCTCCCAAAGACCTCCCACCACCACAACATCTCCTAATATCATCATTTTGAGTGTTAGAACTTCAACATAGAAATTTGGGAAGAACACAGACCTTTTAAAAAAATAATAATAATAATCTTACTTAGTTGATTAGGGCACAAAGGGTCAAAGGCTACAGGAAAGTGGGTAATACCACTGTTTCCACACTAATATCATAATTTTTGCCCTGTATCTGGGGTCAGGGGAGAAATAAAGGGAAAAGCCCCACCCAGCCTCCCTCCCACCCCAGGTCCCCGATGTGAGGCACGCTCTGAGGGTCCTGCTTAAGCAGTTTTGATAGTTCAACAGTTCTGAATTGCTGCCAATCTCACCGTTCCAGTTGCGATGAAACCTATTCAGAATCCACTGGCTGACATAGTCCCTTCATGGTTGGGGTTCTGAGATCAGCAGCTCAGTTGGAGGGATCTCCAAAGAAACTTCATCTGAGATGATCCCAAACCTGATTCTTCTGTTTGTTTGCCAGTACAGGGTCTGGCAGCATCTGTTGCCCCAATCAGTTTATGCACATGCTGTCATTCCAATTGCTGGGTCAGTTCTGTTTTCAGTCCTGTCTTTCACTTGAACCAATGAGTGTTGTAGTCCAACTTAATCCTACCTACTTCATACTCGGTCTTCACGTAAACCAGTGGGAGCTGCAGCCTAGTTTGGGCAACTCCCCATAACCCCTACCAGATCTGCCCCTACCCTGGTTCCCATGCATGCCAGTATGAACCGCAGGCTTGTTCAGTCTGTCCCATATCCCATTTAGCTCTCGTACATGCCAATGGGCATTGAAGCCTAGTTCAACACAACCAGCCCTACTATCCAGCCCACACACATACTGGCAGGTGCCTTTCTGTCTAGCCACCCCTGCCCCTGTCCTGGTTTTCGTGCTCTCTAGTGGGAGTGGTTACCCACAAGGGAGGTGCCCGCTATCTCCCTACTAGGCCACTCCAACTTCCAGATTATGCACTCTCCAGGTGGTTCTGGCATGTAATTTGACAGAATTAACCCCCAGTGCCAACCTCTACCATCTGATGCTCTGGAAGAGCCCAACCAACCCCCACCCACTCTAATTTGCTTGCACCAGCCAGAACAGTCAGCTCAACCTGGCCCTTCCCTAATTTAGCTCATATGAGGTCCACAGGTGCTTGCCTGGTCTGGTCTGCCCCCACCCCAACTTGTGCTCTCCAGTAGGAGTGGTTGTAGCAGGGGAGCCCACATTCTCCTGCCGGCTTTGCCTCCCCACCCACCCCCCCCCCGGCCTCCACTCCAGTTCTCACATGTGCTGTTTGGGGGCTGCAATCACATCTGGTATGGCTCACCTCATCTTGGCATTCTTTAATGTGCACTGGTATGTGTTGTGACTGAAGCTGGCCTGAGCCACACTCTATGCTGGCATTCAGATTTGCCAGTGGTTGATGTAAATGGGTTCAGCATGGTCTGCCATCCACCTATGCCATATGTATGAAGGCTTCCTCTGGCCTGGTCTAGGTTGCTCTGTATTGTGGTTCTTGTGCTCAACTGTAAGGACTGGAACACAGACCTTTAAACCACTAGAATCAAACCTTCTAAACACAAATCATGGAGCACGGGTCATCTTGCCCATGCTTTAGGGTCACATTGTAAGCCACAGGTGGCATGTCTCCCATCAGCATCTAGCTTTACTGAACTACCGTGCTGAGCACATAGGCATTTCTAAATTTTTCATTAAGAATGATGACACTTGGCCTGGCGTGATGACTCAGTGGCTAAATCCTCATCTTTCATGCACTGGGATCCCATACAGATACCGGTTCATGTCCTGTCTACACACTCCAACCCCACCCAGAGCTCCCTGCTTGTGGCCTGGAAAAGCAGTGGATGAAGGCCCTAAGCCTTTGGACCTTGCATGGGAGCTCAGAAGCTCCTGGTTTCTTCACTTCAGATCGGCTCAGCTCTGGCTGTTGCAACCACTTGGGGAATGAACCAGCAAACAGAATTTCTTTGTCTCTCCTCTCTGTAAATATGCCTTTCCAATAAAATAAATAAATAAATAAATAAATAAATAACAATTTATGTGTTTAAAAAAAAAAGAATAATGACTTTTGTTCCCTTCAGACACATTTAGACTTTAGCTCTGAAAACCTACAGTCTGTTCTTCGGCATCAATCCAGGATGACTGGTGTCATAGAGAGCTGATGGGCTCTAGATGCTTTCCTCACACTAAGTCCAAGTTTGAGGATTAGCCTGTGGCTTTCAGAAGTCAAAGAAAGGCATTGAAGGAAATATAAGACCTTCACACTGGGCCACCATTTCTTGCTTAAAAAAAAAAAAAAAAACAAGGGGATCAGACTGAGTCAGAGGTTGAAAGTGGCAGTGCATGGGTCACCAGCCTATGGATGTGGGATTTTGGTGATGGGAACGGAGAAAATTTGATAGAACTTAACATTTTATATTGGTAATCTATCTTTCAAAGCTAGGGGTTTTCAAATTAAATTCTAACACATGGACTTCTGCTGTAGTGCCTCTAGGACTCATTGCTCTTGAGATCTCCCATAATTGAGTATCCCAAATTTGTAGTGCCTTGTGGAAGACATGAGAGAGAGACTTGGAGATTGAAGGAAATGAAGACAGATACAGGAAGGAAGAAAGAGGAACAGGCATTGGGGAGATGAAGGGTGGAGAGTAGGAAACAAATTAAGGGAAAAGGAAGCTAAAAAAAAAAACATGAGAAGAAAATGACAAATACTTATCTTAGGATGATTACTCATTTGATCCTCGTAAAAATTCACATAAGGCAATAATGGTTGCATTATTCCCTTATGTGAAAAGGAGCAAATCAAAGCTCAGAGAGGAAAAATAGCATGCCCTTCTCTCAGAGGCCAGAAGTAGCAGAGGTGGGATTCTAATTTGGCAGTGGCCTCCCAGCTCACTCTGAGTCTAAGCATGGTTCTTTCAGCAGCCCTCTTGACTTCATGTTCTTCCACTCTACCAATGTCTCACTGAGGCTGTAGCCACACAAGCCTCTCAACTGTCCTTTCCACTTCCAGCCCTTCCTGCTGACACCTTCCTGCTTGCACCCACTATGCCTTCAGCATGGATCATTCTCCTACCAATTATGTGAATCATCTGTCTCCTTATCTCCCCCCCCCCCCACATCTTGGCTTAGTTGTCAACACTTTCTTGAGGGTTTCCTGATTACACCAGTGCAAAATTTTTCTCATATATCCTCTCACATGCACAAAGTCCTTAGCTACTGCTAACTTCCCTCTGCTTTATTAACCTCCAAACTAATACATCGGCATTGATCATGCAGTGCCCTTTATTTCATCTAGAATAAAATCTTAATGAAAGAAAAATTTTTATCTGGTTGGTCATTGCTATATCTCCAGCACTTAACAACTGTACCTGGTCTATAGAATATGCTCAATAAATGTTTGTTGACTCAATAAGGAAAAACATGTACCCAAGCATTCAAGTAGCCAGGAGTCTGATTTTACCAACATTGTTTTCTGTCTCCTTTCAGAAATCATTCGAGATCACACACTGCCTCTGGGTGATGGCACCTCTGAGCCAGCTGAGTAGCAACATCAACTCTACCTGTGGGGCAGAAAATTCCACAGGTGCCAACCAGGTCCGCCCACATGCTTACTATGCCCTCTCCTACTGTGCACTCATCCTGGCCATCATCTTCGGCAACTGCCTGGTGTGTGCAGCTGTACTGAGAGAGCGGGCCCTGCAGACCACCACTAACTACCTAGTGGTAAGCCTGGCTGTGGCGGACTTACTGGTGGCCACCTTGGTGATGCCCTGGGTGGTGTACCTGGAGGTGAGTAGATGCTAAGTGATTGCAGTTCCTGTGCTTGTCTTTGTCTTCTCTGAGTTCCTGGCCTTGAGGGCTCAGCATAGTTCCTCCTGCAGTGTGGGAAGTGAAGAAGGAAGGAAAATCTCTGCAAGTCCTCATTTTAATATGAGGGAATTGAAGCTCTTGTGGGCAGTCACCATCAAGTCACTCACTCACACCAGACCCAGGAAACTGGGAAATACTCTGTTCCCAGGTCTCCAGTATCCAGGTAGCTAAACTAGAGTGATAGGACTCTTCCAAAAAAACTATCTCATTCTTGTCCCAATGCTACAGTGTTGGAAGAGGCAGTCAGGGTTCAACATACAAGGGCGTGAGGATGTGCAGAAGGGATGCACAGCATGGAGGAACAGAAGGAACTCTAGGAAAGCCAAAAGAAAAAAAAAATTAATGAATGAGAGGAAAGATAGAGGAAGTGTCCTGCAAACAGATCAGACTTCCTCTGATGGCTCAGCTCCTCCACCCCTTGGCTCTTTTTCCCTGGGTGCTAGCTCTCCTTAGGCTCTGCCATAAAATTGATAGGCTAAACTTTCACATCTGTTTTCTCCAGGCATCCACTGGTAGCCAGAGCCTTTGCCAGTCTCAGCAGAGAAGACTCTAGAGAATTCTTCTAGGGAGAAACATTTCTTAAATTTGAAAGTATTTTCACTAGAAAGTGCAAAACAGATCAAGAGGTGATCAAGACAAAACATCCACTTGCTAACAAGGAGATCAGAGTGTCTACATCTGTTCAAGAAACACAGTCTTCCTGGGAAAACATGCAATTACTGAAGAGGGTTTTTTTTTTACACCTTAATATGCTATTAATATTTCTCCTCTACACCATGTGTCATTCTAAGGAGGTATCCAATGAAGGATCAAAATGATGCTATGATTAAGAGAAATTAAGATTCATCAAATTAATATTTCAGTTAATATTAATAGTGAAGGTGACAGTTAATTAAGTATGACATATCACGGGAGAGCCAAAACCTCAAACATAGACTGGCACACCGGTATCCATATTAAAAATGGCTGGGAACTAAAATTAGATCTATGATTTCAAGGGAGAAGAGGTATATAAAATTTTTTTAATTTCTTAAAATAGATAAATAAAGGAAAAAGAAATAGTATATTAAGTGAATTGGAATACATCTAAAGATTGTGGGAACATATGAGGGAAATACATATTCATTCTTCCCAGTTAAGATAATTCTGAGGGTAAGGAATCTTGCAGTTTGCTTGCTTTTGTTGGGATTTCCAATTAGGACAAATCATCCTTTCTGCCAAAGAATTTCTCTTTTTCCTGTGATCCAAACAAACTACTTGACATGTGACAATCTGCTAAATAAATAGTTGGCTCGTTGATTTTTAAGTGAAGCTTCTTTTAACCTGTGTATCATATGGGCAATCCCTGGCTTCATTTCTGCATCCATATCCATTGTTACATACATTTAGAGGGAGGAGGGTGAAACACTTATGAATTTACATACAATAACAAGAAGAGCAAGCAAGAAGTAGAAACTAGTGGTTTTTTCTGCTCAAGAGGAAGGCAGGTTAGATATTACAAGCTGGCATTGATTGGTCAGTAATTCACAGGACCACCTTTATTCCCATAAAACCATTAAATATTTCTGTCACTTCCCATATTTTACAAGAATTATTAAATCTTCCAGCAAAAAAAAAAAAAAATAAAGGAAAGAAAAGGATGTCCAAAAAACATATAGACAGAGGACCTGAACTCAAAGAAGCATTTCACTCCCTCTGAGATTTAAAGAAACAAACAAATAACAACAACAAAAAAACACCAGGTTTTTAGTGTCAGTGACAAAGGCACTCAATGGCATTCCTTGGGAATTCATTGCAATTGCTTCCAGAACTCTGGTTTGACCATACTAGGAAACCTTAGTAAATAGTGATTAGGAAAATGGACATTGTGATTTACACATCCTAGAAACCCACAGATTCCCCTTCTGGGGCTATAGGTCCCATCCCCATAGTACTGCTGAGCCTACAGAAAAACACATGAAATCTTGAAAATGCCATGAAAGAATCTCTGTCTTAGGAACTTTGGATTTTCTCTGATGAAAAGAGTTGACAATCACTATGCTCTCTCCCCAATAAGTTATTCAGCAATCAATGGCATTGTCAAAGAACTTTACATTCAGGATAAAACAAATTTAGAGGAATGGAGATATCTTTCACCTGGTAAATTACTTTCACGGGCCTCTTTTTGCCCTTACCAACTTGCAGTAATGCTGCCATTGGTGCAACCTAATGTCTTTACATGATTATCTATCTTTAACAGCAATCCAGGCTGTCTCTCAATGAAAAATATGGTATGGCATAAAGCAATCATTATTAATAGACAGTCATTTATTAGAAGTCTCCAATTCAAAGGACCATTTCTCCCTATCCCATGCCAGCTTGCATCTTTCTGAGTCTGAACTCTTTTTCTGTCTTTCCTTAGTGGCAGGATGAGAGACCTTAACTAGACAAAGAGTATGCTGATCTCACAAAAGGATGCTGAACAAATATCCATGCATGTCAGAGAAAAGCAATTCGTAAGGTTGATATGGTTTGAATAGCAGCTCTAACAATACTTGATTATGCCTAGGAGTGCCCTTGGAAACTAGCAAGGAACAGAGTTGACCACAGACTGCCACAGAGCTGGGGGGTTCTAGAAACACAGAACACATTAAAGAACACCATTCTGAGGCCCAAGGATTCACCACATTCATACCCTCATGCGTTTTAAATTGAACATGTTCATCTTCTTCAAAGGAAAATTGCCTCTTTTTCCCAGATATCAGTGTATGTGAGTCAGGAATAGTTTGGCACTAAATATTAGAAGGCTAAAGTAAGAAAACATCAGAAAATTATAGGGGTTACTTTTTGTGTGTGCTGAAGGAAAGCAATCCTTGGTGTCAGCTCAACAGTCTTCCCGTGTCATCATGGGCCAGAATCTCCCACCCATCCTCCTCATTCCCCTTAGCCAGCAGATATGCTTCCTCATGCTACTCACAAGATGGCTGCCACACAGCGGTATTCAAAATAGGAGGGACTGAGACCACAGAGGCACACAGAGAGGAAAACCCTCTTTCCTGAAGAAATTTGAGTCATCTCCCTAAGGAACTGCACTAAGAACAGAAACGTTAAGACTCCCCGTAGTGTAAAAGAGGCTAAACAAAGACAAAGTGATAATGTGAGTTGGCTTTATAAAAAAATGTGGGGCTGGAGAATTACCATGAGGTAGGCAATAAACTGTGATATAGTATTACCTCTATTGGAGTTCTCTGGGATGAGCGTTACTCAACACAGGGTAATGCTACAAAAGGCACCCTCAGATTTGAAAGGGGCAAGAGACAAAAGGAAGTGAAAAAATAAGAAACAACAGCAACAAGACTTTTCTTATTGAGTTGATGTTAGGCTTAACTGCCATCTGCTCCAAGAGTACTTTAATAAGTAGGAAATGTGATCTAGAAATGCTGCAGTTAACACACTTTTCATTGTAAGTATAATTGGCCTAAATAAAAAGCAGCAAGCGTTTCTCTTTAGACTGGGAGCTTTAGAAGTCTTATGCAGGCACAGTTTGACCAGAATCCACCTCCATTTCTCTACAGTTCTCTCAAGCCTGCCTTCCTTCATAAATGGACCTTCTCCACAGGCAATAGGCTAAGCTGTAGGCCTCACAAGTGCACACTGCACCATCCACAGCAGGAGGAAAAGTCTATGTCCCAGAATTCCTAGTAAAAATTTCAAGATGCACTCTGATTGGACTGATTCATGGCACATGATTTTCTTGGAATTAATCATGAGCTACAACAACTGGCTTAGCATAAATTGCACATTCCTTTGAGCACGTCAGCTGCCAGGGATCTCATGGATTCCCAGTGGAATCCAGGTATTAAGAAAGGAAGGAAGAGAATAGTGAATAAACACCACAGCTGGTCTTGTTTGGTATCACTCTCCTCCTGAAGGCACACAGAAAGGATGAGTGTTGTGACAAAGAAGGCTAACCCACCACTCGGGAAGCCTGCATCTCATTATTGCAGCCCTAATTCTGAAATCTGGACACTCTACTTCTAATCCAGCTCCCTGTTAATGTATCCCAGGAGACAACAGAAAGTAGCCCAAGTGCTGGGCCCCTGTCACCTACAAGGGAAATGCAAATAGAGTTCCAGGCTTGAACAAAGCCTGGCCCAGCCCTGGCTGTGGTAAGCGTATGGAAAGTGGAACACTGATGGAAGACCACTTGCTCTGTCTCAAGCATGTACACACACACACACACACACACACACACACACACACACACTTTCTCATATTGCCTCTCAAGCAGAGGAAAATAATGTTTTAAGTTTCAATAATAAGTATTTAAAAATAGTTTTAAAAAAATACACAGGAACCTATGCTAGGCAGTCCATGGTCCCACCTCAATATTGTGTGTTCTTGGAATTAGCAGAAAAGAAGAGAAAAAAATCACACATGTCATTGTGACCTCACATGAGGTTATACTTCAGACAGCCAGTGGCTTAGTTATCACTTTAATTCAGTTTATAGGATTTTCTCAAAAACTCTATTTTTGTGCCTACCAAATAGTTCTTTCTCAGATTCCCTCTCAGGTTTTTAATTTCCTGCTTTACAGGCTGAAATCTGTTTGGAGCTTCTTCTTCAAGTATAAACATCCCATTTTGTTCCACTTGGTTAAGCACCTTTTGTGCTGTTTAATGTACTTGTACTGGGATAGAGAGGCAGCATAAACACCCAGGAAAATGTGTGAAATACAGATCATTCCTGACATAACAACGGTTTGACTTTGGATTTTTGGACTTTATCATGGTGCAAAAATAATTCACATTCAGTAGAAATCATGCTTTTAATTTTGCTTTTTTTTTTTTTCTCAGACTAGTGATAGTCAGTAAGGCCCTCTGTGATAACGGATGATGGCATTGAGCCACAACTCCCAGTCAGCCATGAAAATGTGCTGT